TCGTTTAGGCGAGTACGTGGGTGTTGTGATGTTGAAGGGAACTATCCGCCAGGGTGGTAGGAGGCGATGCTGTGTCTCAACTTTGTACAGATTGTCTAGTCAGGTCTAGGCCAATGTGTTGGACGCGGTGGTGGTGGTGGGGGGAGGGTGTGTGTGTGGTGGCACGGGAGGGGGATGGGGGTGTGATGGTAGGGGGGGTGTAGGAGAGGCCAGTTCTTGTACATTACTGCCCAGCTTCTTTAGAATATATAGCTGTAGGTCACTGGTGCTGTGTCCTTTGGCAGATAAACGTTACCTAACCTAACCTAACCTAACCTCTTGTCAAGTAATTTTCCCTAAAACTTCCGTCTTCCCTCCCTCCCTCCCTCTCTCCCTCTCTCCCTCCGTCCATCCTCTTCATTCATTCCCTCCTTCTCTACCCTCATCCTCCCCTCACTTAGTCATTTCCTGCCCCCCTCCCACCCTCCCCTTCACCGTGGGTCCTCGTGTCTGTTAATTAAGATGTACTCTCTCCTTCCTCCAACAGTGATCCTTTACCCACATGATCCTCCAACAGTGATCCTCCACCAGCGATCCTCCAACAGTGATCCTCCACCAGTGATCCTCCAACAGTGATCCTTTACCAGTGATCCTCCAACAGTGATCCTTCACCAGTGATCCTCCAACAGTGATCCTTCACCAGTGATCCAATACCCACGTGATCCTTCACCAGTGATCCTCCAACAGTGATCCTCCAACAGTGATCCTTCACCAGTGATCCTCCAACAGTGATCCTTCACCAGTGATCCAATACCCACGTGATCCTTCACCAGTGATCCTCCAACAGTGATCCTTCACCAGTGATCCTCCAACAGTGATCCTTCACCAGTGATCCTTCACCAGTGATCCTTCACCAGTGATCCTTTACCCACGTGATCCACCACTCTCTGATGGGACTTGATCCTTCACTGTTCAGACTTGATCCTTCACTAGTTGGACGGATTTAATGATTGAGAACTGACTTAGTGATTGAAAGAGCTGTTTAGTAGCAGGAGTAAGGCATAACACGAGAGAGAGAGAGAGAGAGAGGAATATCACGCTTGAACGCTCTCCTGTCAGAAGTTCATAGGAGCTAATTGACCATCTCTTTGTGAATTAAATTACAGAGAGTGGGAGGGAGGGGGGAAGAGATGTGCAGGGAGGGAATGGGTAAGATGGAGGGAGAGAGAGAGAGAGAGGGAGGGATGTGGAGGGAGATAATGAGTCAGATGGAGTGAGGGAGAGGTGTGGTAAAATCTCCAACAAACTACTTAGCTTCTCCTACAAACAAACCACCCAGGAAATCATTAAATTTCTACACACACACCACCAAAATAATAATAATAATAATAATAATAATAATAACAATAATAATAATAATAATAATAATAAGCCTGATTTAATAAGGTGGGACCCCAATACACCACTCGACAATATCACTTTACTACACAATTTACTGCTGAACTATTGGGGTTAACTACCTCATACACAACACATCAACAACCTCTTGATACCAACCTCCAAGAAAAATACTAAATAAACAATAAAATACTTTCTCCAATAGTATACCAGTTTACCCAAAAACAAAAACAACAATAAAAAAAAACAATTAAAAAACCTTTCAGTCACAAAGAGGTTCTTAATATATCCAATAAATTAATAAATAACTCAAATCACATACTAACTACCAACTACATTATTAAATCGTTTCAATTCCTACAAACTACCAATTAACCAACAAATCACCAAACGATCCAACTAGCCACATCAAGTCAATTAGGCAAATTCATCGTCAGCTATACCCCACAGTGTATAGCCGGCCGCTCAGTTCATCACATGGGACGTATTCAATTTACTTTACGAAGCGACAATTACCCCAGACTAAATCATTGGTCCTGTGATGCGGAAACCTACTAGATGCAGAAACCCTCAATGATGTAATTTATATATCCAGTTTATGACGTAATATTTAGGTTGATCCATTCTTTATTTTGGGTGGGCGACGTGATGGGGGTGTGTTGTGTGGAGCCGTGTTTTGTGGGGTTCGAGGGGTGTACGTAAAGCCGTTTTCTGTGGGAAGGGGTTCAGGAGGGGTGTATGCATAAAGCCGTATTTTGTGTGAGAGTGGGGGGGGGACGTGTTGTAGGATGGAACTTTCAGATGCCAAATTCCTAGAGATCCTGCACGTAAACACAAGGACTTTTACCCCCAGGTCATCCAAGAACCCTGACCTAAAAAAAAAAAAAATCTAATTAAAGATAAAATACTAACTCTTATGGTTTGCGTCTTAATATAAATGTTTGGGATAAATTACAACAAATTCAAAATATCTTCTTCTCAATATTGCAATGAAATTTAGATCCCGGTAATTGTAATTGGATATCTTAGTAGTATTATCGAATTTTATGTACAAAACTGTACTACTCTATAAGCAATAACATTTGCGATTTTAATAACCCTAAAACTGTAGTTAATTTTCCATCTGTTCTACGATATTGTCTGTAACTAATATGTTCTTCTTGTATCATAGAAAATCTTTGCTTAAATTGGAAAACAAACGTGAATTATGAAATTTTAGTTATACAGTACAGTGGTCGGGTTGTCAGGTGGTCGCGGAAATTCAGTGACATGATTGAATTTCCTGCCCAACGACCTATCATGAATTTCAGTTTATCATGTGACGTGTATCGTTGACTGACTCTGGTTACTCTCAGGAGCCTCTCAAAAGACTGTCTCAGGAGCCTCTCAAAGAACTGTCTCAGGAGCCTCTCAATGACTGTCTCAGGAGCCTCTCAAAGAACTATATCAGGAGCCTCTCAAACACAACATGGGCTCACCAGTTACATAAACAAACTGTTCATGAAACATTCCAGTATTCTTTATCATTCTATTAAAAAACAGATCTAGAGTCGTGGATATATGTTGAAGCCTTGAAACCAATATGGGACTACTGAAGGTTATTGTTGGGTTGTGTGTGTGTGTGTTGTAAAGTGCCAGGGGTCATATACACCATTATTACTGCTACAGATTATTATTAATGAGTATTTAGTTGGTCAATAGTGATTTCCCTGTTAAGCAGCTCGCCATAATACTGACGGTGTGTATTGCATAGTGGTTAAGTTAAACGATAATGTGTATGTCGAATGTTCCAACACAAGACGAGAAAAGTCTTGTTTTCATTCCGTTGACAGTGTTACCACAACCTGGTAAATAATACACCAACACTCAGTAGCATGAGTCACACACCAACACTCAGTAGCATGAGTCACACACCAACCGCTTCATGTTACTTTAGTTCGGTAAGTTCGTCAATGATTTTTTGTCTTATTGTTTGTTTTTTATCATCTATAATCTGTCTCACAATATTTTCTTCACTGTATCAACTTTTACTGCCTGTCACTCGCAACGGTTTACCTCACTGTAGTTGATGAGGCTGGCTGGACCCCTGCCAGGAGTTGCTCTAATGAACGGCGCCCAGCCTTATACGTCACTCCTCTCTGAAATGTTTACCCAACACATCACTATTAGACAAGTTGGTACTTCTAATTAGATTCAATCATTAGTCCAACTAGCTTCAGACATATCAATTGTCTGTGTGTGCTGGTGTGAAAGTTAACAGTTGAGAGACACTTTTACATATGACTGGATTAGATACATCGAAAGATATTTCAATAGGTTTCATTAAGGATGAGACTGGTTATAGACAAGGAACAAGGACTTGCAGTCACCTATTTACCTTACTGTACTAATTTGTGTAAAACTACAATAATTAAACGTCAGCTCTAGTTGACAACCCAAACAAATTACTCATCACTCACTTCTCTCGGACATGAACCCGGGGAGAGAGAGAGAGAGAGAGAGAGAGAGAGAGAGAGAGAGAGAGAGAGAGAGAGACTATTATACTGTTTATATTTATGTATAACGTTTCACTGACCAGGCACACTCACCCCCAGCCCCTCTGACTTACGACCCCGGTAACCCAAGACTATTGCTTATGTAAGTAGTGTACGCCACATGCAAGCTTGCCACATGATAATAACCAGACGATGAGGAACTTGACGCGTGACATATATAAACTCGTTTTAAAAGCGGTCAGATGCATTCTGTATGTGCTAAAGTTGTGCTGATTGGTGGGCGGACGTAGCACTTACCTCACACAACACACAGCTGTACCACACACACACACACAAACTAACCATTCCCTACTTATCAGAATCTAGGCGCTAATAAAACAAGAACATAACATAAACAACTTGGTCTAAAGTCTTGTTTAATTTATTTATTTCATTATTGGAATTTTCGTCCACTTGGGAAATTGTTTCAGAACATTTCCTCCCTCTGCTCGACCCGACACGTCTATATCCTTGACCCAGACGTGTACAGGTTCCTCTGTCATTTCCGTTCAGACAGACAGACAGACAGCTGAACATGTTTCACTGTTATAAACTTGTGATATTATTATTGTCACGTTCAATCTTTAAATAGGTCCTGACAACACCGGGTAGGACGGAGAGAGACTTGAACACCCTCCTGGTCCCTACTTGGCGTCCAACAGATACCAGTGCCATTATACCGAGTCTTTTTTTAATAAGCAACTAATGAGAAACAATCAGCATCCCACGACGAGCACCAGACTCAATCTGTCATTACATTATTTTCATTATGTAATTTACGAACTTGATGAATAACAACGTTTACCCTAACAGCCCTGTCCACTATAATGGTCCTAACTACCGTGTACAGAACAAGCACACATCAACACCTAACCTTTGTATATATTCAATTACTTTCGTTAGTATTTTCCATGAATTTAAGGAACAATAAATAATTTGTTATCAATATAACTCCAGCCAAATGTAATTTTAATTTAAATAACTAAAGACGACATTTAATTACTTCGGAACATTAATATGAATGACTGATTCGAACTGCTTCGAAATTTAGTTGTCTTTGAGCAGTTCACACGACAGAGGGTCAGTGTGGTGGTGGTGTGTGTTGTGGTGAGGACAGTGGGCGTCGTCTGTGGTGTTCAGAGTGTCTACTGAGGGCATAACTACATCGGGTTTAACAAGTTACAGATTATGGTAGGTGTTGTGGGTATATGCTTTTCAGATCATTCTACGTATCTTGCATCAACGAACTGCCTCACACGAGAACCTTAAGTGTCGGTAAAATTTTGCATAAACGTTTTTATTTTGACTTAAACTTTTGACAGATAAACCTTAAGTATGCTTCTTTACTTGTGCCGTGTATTTTTTTAACACAAGATACTGAGGATTGGTGTTTATTTACAGAGGCTACAAGAGGTAATGTGTGGTGCGTGGTTTCCCTGCTGCGTACTGCTGCTGCCTCTCCTCTTCTTCACGGCCCTGGGTAAGTCCCATATAACCGGTATGTGTAAGGAACCATTCATCAATTTAGATAGTTATTTACGCAGTTATTTGTACCCAAACGTCTTGTACCTTACTTCTAAATCATTCGTCATTCAGGACTTTTCTCCATGTGCCGTATCTGGGAAATGTTTAAAGCAAATTTGCAGGGAGTAAGTGTGCAGGTAGCTGAAGTGCTCGCAATAATAAGACTGCAAAATAAATAAGTTGGCCTTATAGCGTTAAGTTTATACAATAGGGTAAATTTCTCCTTTTAAGAGTTCTTCCAGGTACAACAGTGTTTATCCCCAGATGTCTTGTGTGTGCCCGTATCGCCTTGTTGCCTCTGTTAAAATCCCTCCGTTTTTTACTCGACAAGTATCAATGGCTGTGTTAAATTATCCTTAAACCAAAATATTTATATCCTTGTTATTTTCTGATGGTAGTAGTTTTAATGTAGTGGTAATATTGTGTGAATTGGAAGAAACTGGTCTACAGTAAGTGTTTTAAATCCTTTTTGATAATCGGCTAATCAGGCCTCTAGGTTGCACTAGTGGCACTACTTCGTCTTTCGCGGCGACAAAACCATAATGCGTCCTGATCCAGCTCCGTTTTGTTCTCTGCTCTGTGTACTGTAGGTTGACGAGTCCCACGGCTAGGAAGTTACCTTAGGTTTAATTTAGAAGTGGCCCCGACCTACGACGGTGTTAAGTGCAAAACGGTGTAATTGCAGAGTTTTAAATAAATTTTCCATGAAAACTCTCTTTCGGCTGTCGTCAGTAACTACCTGATGATCTATAGCTTGGTGATCAGACTTCATGATTGTTGGCCTTGGGTATCGTCTTTACATTATCTTGGTGCAGTAAAGTGTAACCATAAGACATAACTTATGGTCGTGTAGTTAAGCTGTTCCCTGTAGGCTGCTGTGTTTATTATTATTACCCAGTCGTTGTATTGCTTTAGTAGTTGCAGGATTTTCACTGACATTTGTAGAGTATCGGGGTCTGCAGAGACCTTCCCACTTGAACCATGTATAGTGTTTGAATGAAATAAAACCGTGAAGAAGTTGCCTGAATCTAATAATTGGTCTTAAAGGAATTAAGACGATAATGGTTCTGGTATGAAATAAACTCCACGTATTACGGTTCCTCCAGTAATGATATGCATGAAATTCATTATTTATAACTACAAAAAGTAAACTGCTCTTGTCTTCTCAGGGAGTGCACCAGGGGTAATGAGAAGTTGCTGCCACGGCGATTCTATTGTTGAGCACGGGCAGGTGGTGCTGAGTCTCCCCACTTGCTGCCTCACCCTCGTCTGTGTGCATGGTGTTATTCTGCCAAACTATCACCCTCGACCCGAAGCCATGCACTGTAAGTCAACACTATAGTATACGTAGTTTAGAAGCTCCTGTTCTGTTGACCCGGTACTCGGTATTTTTCTCTACTGCTGAATCTCCCCTAAATGGGAGCCACCTTGCTGTTGGGGGAGGGGGCGCTGGCTTGAGTCCCGGATAGCCGTACCAGGGGAGGTGCAGATGGAACACTCTCCCACGGGATCTTGGTGGTTAAGCTGCGCCGCACGTTGTCCTGCCTCGGATATGAAGCCGGTAAAAAGAGCTGCCATCCGCTCGAGTTGGTAACACGGGGGATGCTGTCGGAGCTAACAACCTCTGCGGCATTCTCCCTGCTTTGATTGCCTGAAGATGTCGGGCAGGCCCTAGCTGGCACAGTGGACGGACGTGCGGCGGGGTAGCTCCTTTTACTCCCGAGAGTTATCTGCCCCAACGGGTCGTATGGCCCTGATTCCTGTCATTTCCTACGGGGGGGACCAACTGGGGCCCTCAAGAAGTACACGCTAACCCTGATATAAGTACCACAATAGCCATGCTGGGAATCCTTGATCAACTTTTGCTTCTCCAGGTGGTTTCGAATGGATCGAAATTATTGCTTCCAGCAATTTGCCTACAATAGATTTTAAGGACGGATCAAGCTATCGGCGCCGCCTGGTGGGCTTGTCACACTGTTGCATATTCCTTAACTACTATTGATATGTTGTTAGAGCTATTTAGGATAGATCAGAGTTGCAGAAAACCACTGCTTGTTGTCGTGACAAGTAATCTATTTAAGATTTTATCCGTATACTGCTCACTGTTGTAATTCCTTCCAGATAATTAAAATGAAGTTACAAAATTTTTCACTCTAAAATGAGTTCGTTTTTTGTGACCTGCCGCTGTAGGCGCTATTATAGGAACGAGTGACTTGTAAGTTTAACACAATCTTACAGGTTGTGAGTTCGACGGACTGATGTATCCTGACGGCGCCCAGCTGACGGCTCAGTGTTTCCTCTTGACGTGTAGGCGAGGAGTCTGGTCCCCCACACACCGCATAGAGGACTGCTGTACGGTCAAACTCCTCTTATAACTGATATTCAGATCTGTATTTCTTAAACTTTACCGATGTATATAATTCCTTACATGATGATTGGGAACTTTCTTGTTGTATTATTTGTTTGTGAAATTGGTCGCCCATTTAGGGTGTATATAGCCATTAACACCTATTGGTTATTCTATGCAATATTCTTGTACAGGTAAACATTGCTACCTGTACAACGACCCGCACATACGAACCTTCGACGACTATCGCTACGACTGGCACGGCACCTGTAACTACTCGGTGGCCCAGAGTGACTTCACCTATAAACCTGACGTGGGTATATTCAGTGATTTTGAAAGTTGTAATGGGCGCGCCTCTTGCCTGGCTCACACCACCTTCAAGGACAACCCCCATACGGCCATCACCATCTGGAGCGAAGACGTGTTTAATGTAAGCTGATCTACATTATGCTGTGGTTGACATAATTTTTTTTTACATTTATTATTACAACTATTAACGCGATGGATTCTTAAGCGTTTGATTAATGAACTAATTGTAATGAAGTTTTGCTCTTGTGAACATTGGAAGAGGTTGAAATTTCGTGTACAGTATTTCCGATATCAATGTAGCACAGTACCGGTTGAATTTGTTCTTTGAATACTTTTTACCGTTAATTATTGGTGTGGATGTTTGTATACATATAAAAGTTTTATCAAGAATGGACGCTTCATTTAAAAGTAGCAATTATAAGTGATTATAGATGCTAAGTAAACAGTTCAACTCGCTGAAACCAAACTTGTTAACATAGGTACTTGGTGAAGAGCAAAGTTTAAAATAAGTGAATTAAATTAACTGTTAAATGCCTGGAACTATAATATTTTTATCTAAATAAAATAAAATTATATAAAGTACTCTTAAAACTTTTGGACAGCTTGTTGTGAACGGTGACACTTACGTGGTACCTGTGGCGGGGGCTCATGCAGTCCAGTCTGACGGCGTCAACCACCCGGTGCTGGCGTGGCGGGACGGCGGCTGTGTGTACCTTTTGGGGTCGTCCAAGCTGGTGGTAAGACTGTTTATTAACCTGTTAATCATAGGCTAGACAAATAGGCCAATCAGAGGATAGACAAAGAGGCTGATCAGAGGATAGACAAAGAGGCCAATCAGAGGATAGACAAAGAGGCCGATCTTGATGTATGTAACACTAATGATTGTGGGCCATTACCGTTTGTCTGCCCAAGCTTATCCCCAAATGACAACCTAAGAATCAAACCAGTCGGTAATTGGTTGAAGCCTAACTCGGTTTACTGGATTTGGGCATTACGTGCCACGTTAGCCCTCGTGTTATGAATCCATTAAGTGGGCAGAATCGCGAGTTAATGGAATTGCCCTTAAACTGAGGCTAGTCCGCTTATATCAGACTTACCCTTAAACTGAGGTAGGTTAGTCTGTTACAGGAATTGCCCTTAACTGAGGTAAGTCGACCTATTGGACCTTTCTAAAGACACTTGTTGGATGACGTACAGTCGCTCGACTTAAACGTCACAAATGAACCCTTCAGGTGCAACACTGTCGGCACCGGCTGGACGTGTGGGCGTATCCGAGTCTCGTCAACCAGCTGGACGGTCTCTGTGGCCACTACAACTTCTACCAAGACGACGACTTCACCAGCAGAACCATGGAGGTCCACCCTCTGCAGTACTGGCCTTCGGCGTTCCCCGAGTCTTGGCGGGTGAGTTCTGGTGTTCTCACTCTTGTATGATGTGGGGGAGGAGGGGGGTAGTCTAAAATGTTTTGACTATGTACGAGTAAATTGGCCCAATTCTATTCTTTACTTTTGTATTAGCTGTTTTACTTGTATTAATCTACTAAATTTTACTGGTGATATTTGTATCCGTTTAAAGAATAAATTTAACTTCCCGTTTTATATCCTGGACAACATTACTTTCAGACGAACGAGCAGATGGACCCAAGGTGTGAGGGTCCCTGTCTTGGTTGTTGGCGAGATAGAGCGGTGAGTCTGTTACACTACAGCTCCCTTCCTTCTATATCGGTTAATTACTAGATAACAAGAATATCCATTTCTAGACAAACTGTTACATACGGAGATTCGGATGAAGACCATTGTCATGTTCAGACGATTAAACATTCATTCCTTTTTATACCTTATTCAAAAAAGGGGAAACTTGTTGAAAGTTTGTGTGAATCATATATAAATAATTAAGATCCTAAACTGGTAATTCACGTGATTTAAACCCCCCAAGATTTACGGTGTACATGTTGGTGGATGGTTCCTGTGTGTTCCGAAGTTGATGTTATGTTTCCACTCACCCAGGAGGATCCTTGCAAAGCGGAGGAGAACCAAAGGAAGGAGTACACTGCCACCTGTCGCCGGCTGCTGTACCCCATCATCGCCACAGACACTGACCTCGTCTCTCACGTCGGTAAGTCCGGGTGTGAAGTGTTGGGTAGGATTTATTCATGACGCGATGGGTGTAGGGGTTTATGAAGGACATGGCGGTCAGGAGAGGGTTAATCTTCTAGAATTATGTTGTTCAGGGTTTAAGCTGTGATGATTTTCTTAAATCTAGGTCTGTAATTTGAGTGTGGTTAGTAGTTTACTATCTCAACCAGTTGTAGTTTAAATATTAAAAAAAAAAATACTTACTTTTTCACTGACGCCGCTAGTCATAGGAAATAGTGGTGTTAGTGACAAGGTTTCTCCTACAGAGGCGTGCGCATTAGACTTGTGTGTGATGCGTCAAAACGGCGCGACCCAGGCGGAGGTAGACTACTGGAGCTGGCAGATGCAGGTCATCGTCCAGCAAACAAAGATCATCATCGCCAAGACACTGAGTGAGTCTCTCCCTCATCCCACTTAACAATTTTCTTTTGTTTTCCGCCACCCGTGTCGTGCGATTTGGAAATGGCGGAGGTCTGTGTTTGAAAGATAAACATTTTAACATTATAAATTACACCGGAAAGTATTTTCGCTAAACTATGGATATAAGAGTACAGTATAGCTTTTTCCCAGAGGCGTTCAACAATCGTTTTTGTCCAAAAGTTGTGGTATTTTGAACTTATTGTGGGGATGACGCCTTCATCAAGGTTAGTTTAATGTTACTGCTTTGATCAGTCACTCCTGGCAGACTCTTAAGTTGCTCCTCGGCCAACTCTTATTGAGGGGTGTACTTAAAGGCTCCAATTCAATCTGAATCTAACCTGTCACTATTGCTTGCCACCCCGAGTTTGTCCTTGGCTTGCCATACGGTAACGGTCCTCCCCAACATTTTGTAAACTCTGGGTCCCATTTACTATTGGACGCACGTAATACAGTACTGTTTACTTGTTGTTTTACGTCTGTCACCAGTTACATACTTTTTACATGTCATCTTTAAAAGAAAATGGCGAGAGGGTTTCCTCCTATCTGGTCAAGAAATTGCACGATACTGTAGTTTCCTGAATTGGCAAGGATCACTCTGGAAACCCTGAGTTATCATTCCATAGCTTTCACTCTTGACCAGGAGTTTTACCATTTTTAGTGACGTGAAGTGTTAGAATTGTTGTTTTACAGATTATAAATGTCCCCAGTTTGTTAAAATGAAAGTGTCATAACCAGAAAAGATCTGTACTGTTGTCCTCTATATATATAATCTGTTGCAGTCCGTAACCTTCATCTTCTAATCTGTAGCCGGCTGGGTACCGAACGCCTCCCCTGTGCCTACCATGGGCATGTGTGTACCTGGCTCCCGCTGGATGGACGAGTGTAATTGGTGCTCCTGTATCGACAAGGGCGTGGGCGCCTGCACTAGGAGGGGCTGTAATCCAGGTGAGTCACTTTTACTGTATTAAATAGTTTGGTTGCCATTACAGATCGACGTCAGGTTGGGAAAACCCTGATCGGTAGTAAAATTACTTTAATGCACTTCTTATATTATTACAAAGTGCTGTAGACAGGCTTTCAATAGTTAATCGCTAAGGAGAAAATCCAGTTTAAATACTGAACACTTAAAACAGACACCTATTTAAATGGATAACTCACGCACGGACATTAGGAGGCAAAACAGAATGGTAACTTTATTTAAATTCATATTAAACATCCTAAATATTATACTTAACAATAATAACTTGTCTGTCGAGTTGAATACTGTACAGGTCCGCCAAGAAGATAAATACTGTACCCAGACAACACACAGAGCTCAGGATTCACGAGTCGCCAGTATTGTATTTGGTTAATTTCTCAGTTTAGTTGTGGATTGATACAGGTTTGCTGAGAATTTACCAACAAATTGGTTCAACTGGTAAGCTTGTGAAAATAATTGCTCAAACCCCGAAATCGATTCAGATTCGTGTAAATCTTTCGTCTTTAAATGGAAGATTAGTAAAAATGGTATATTGGCACGTGTTGTGCTGTACTTGGTCGGAACTTTTGAGGAATATTTAAACATGAATTTTTAACAGACTATATTAATGTGAAACCTTTTTGGTGTGTAGAGTACGAGCACGAGCTGGGGGAGAAGTTCTGTGAAAACGGATCTATTTGGAGGAGGGACTCGTGTAACTGGTGTGAGTGCGTTGGTGATGGCGCCATCTGCACCCATCACAACTGCGGTAAGTCTTTCATTTATTAGTGTTGTAAATAATACAGGAGGTACTTAGAGCTGCGAGGAATAACCAGCAGTTAGTTGTAAAGGTGAAGCCGTATGACAAAGTAGTTATAGTTATCAGACTGCACATGTCTTTTCATCAAGTTTAGCCTCGACCATTGGTAACTATTTGTGTGAGGGGGAAACTTTGTGTTTTTAAGATGACATTTTTTAACGAATAGGAAATAAAATTGTTTGTTTTATTTCGTGGTTTGTAAGAAGACTGCCACAGATTCAGCCGCTTCAAATTTATGGGAGTAAGGACGTTTTGAAATGGCTTTCCAAATAATTTCAGATTACATTTTTACTTTACTTCTAATGCATTATACATCGACAGACTTCCATAATAAATAGTTATAAATTATGACCACAAATCCAGTACAGATCGACGTTCCTTCCCAATGTTTGGACACCTGTACAGAATCTTATACTGTACATACAGACCCGTAGGTATGGTTACGGGTGTCTTATGGTATTCGAACTTTAACAAAAAATAAATTGTCTAACACTACAGCATTTCATTTTAGTTAATGTCTAAAAAATTTGTCATTTTTATTTCTGCCCCAATGACTTATCTTGTAAAAATTTGTCACTTGAGCAAATTATTGTTGTTCTGTTATGACGTTTGTCTCGATGTATTGATTTTTAGTTTCGTGTCCTTTTTTGTTCGATAGATCAAATAGTTCAATTATTTAGTCATCGACCTTTGTCGTTATAAACTGAAAAGTTGTCGAAATATAATGTAAGATTGGGTATATGGGGCTAGTGATCGTGACGTCCACAGGAAGATTTATATATTGTTCAAACTGAAGGATAACTTTTCAAATATGTAGGGACTCGCTCGCCCATCAAAGAGATCCTGCACTGGGCGGGTGTCTTCTCTTGAGAGCTTAAGAGACGCAGGTGGTGTAACATTGAAGTGTGTGACGTATACAAGTGATGGAACACTGTGATGATCACTCAGTAGTGATGAAAAGTGTCCAACTGAACCAATACTTGATCCACTTATTCCCCAAAACCTGGACAAAGGAATGAAGTGATTAAATAATGAAGGTCACTTTACTGAGGAAAAAGCTAGTTTCCTTTCAGTAGTGTCAATTGCAGTACACTTGTCGGGCGCCAACACCACTATAAGCCAGACTTTAGCAACAGGTTCTGTAAAAGACCGGATAAGGAACTACGGGAAGGCTTTGTGATAATGCTCAATTTCTCTTCCACCAGAGGATCATTGCAACTACATTTCTACCAGTGGGAAACCTCCGTGCCCCATGGATTGTGGTATTCACTATGTTAACGACCAAGAGACGGGATGTGAAGTGTGCGAATGTGATCCTGGGAATCCTGGACATCCTTTTGACAAGATCACTGCCTGCCCACCACCGAGCGCATCCTGCCCCACCGCGTGCTTAGTTAAAAATCCAAACACCGGGTGTGTGGAGTGTAACTGTTACCCGTGAACATAAACTCTCTGATCCATCTTTAGTAACCTTTACCATAATTTATCCTGAAAATCTGGACTCACTAGTGTAGGTGTTTGGTTCATTCTATCTTCCACACCATCAAACCAAATGATATTCTTAATGTTTGTCCTCGTACTAAAAGCAATGTTTTAATAAATAGTGTCGAAGCTTGTTATACTGTATACCTTTCCATAGGTTTGTGTACCGTCTATATCGTTGGATTTAAATAGGATTATGGTGGTAACACTTATATTATATAGTTTTAACCAACAAATTAAAGGAACGCTCCGTCAAAGATAATGTCGCCCTCCTGTACCGTGAACAAGTCTGTCGGTGAACACACGCAGGCACTACAGTCTGGCTACCAAGTGCTCTGACTTTTCTGTGTTTATCAAGCGTGTTTCATGTTGCCAATTCTCGCTACTACTCCTCAATGTCTCATTTTTTCCAACATTCACATTTAAAAATAATTTCATGGTGTCATCGTGGCAATACAATTACTGATTGAATTAAGTGACGCTAAATTCTGACGATATTTCGTTGGTAGAGAGTACTAGAAAAAGATAGTTAAGGCAAAACAAAATAAATGACTAGGCATCCGAGGTTCCTGCAATGACCACTAGGGTCACAAAGCAAGAATCCTTACACGTCATAGTAGCAAAAGATTACCACAAGGGTCGCTTAGGAATGACTGATGACTTATTAATGCCTTACAAATGGATCTCGGGTTCTGATAATAAGCAAGCCACGTTTCTTTGTACACTGTATGAAAGCGGTTAAGGAGGTATTAAAGACTGAGGAAGCATGAAACCAAGATAGATTAGTCTGATAAAAACAAGTTAACTCGGCAACAAGTAACGCCAAACACTGTAGGGAGGATTAAAGATCTTGCTCAAAATCATGGCTGAATTATCACCCACAGCGAATCACTGAACAATGTACAAAATTGGATTGTTGAAAGTTTATTTAATAAGAGATTAAACATGATATGTTCTAACCGGAAGCAGACAGTTACCTTCTCCCAGTAATGAGTTTAATGAAGGTCAAGTGTTATGAGGTCAATTATGGGGAATATTCGCCTGAAGACGGACAACCACAACATTAACTTTGGCCAGCAACACCGCCTCTTCCCTCGGTTAGTAACCATTTATTAACCACAAGTAAAACTGCCTGCTGGCTTCGCTCTGGTTACGTATATACTGCATAACCGTGTTTGCCACAATTTGCCCTCCCTGACATTCAGGACTTCACCTATCCTAGACACGGGTAAACATCAGTCGGGAAAGATTGTTTTGGTTCTTGCCTTGACCACCCGTGGGTCTATGGTCAATAGTAAGAAGTGTGTAAAGTTTCAGGTCTCTTAACTGCTTCCGTTTTTAGCAATAGTTGGAACAGACACATTTACGTCCATTTTTAGTCGTATTATGGATTCATTACGGCTTAAAAACAAATGTGCAGTCTAGTTGTAAGGAGACTACTGTTTATAGCATACATAACTGCTGCCTCAAACAACAACTCCAAACAGGTCTCAAGGGTACAGTCAATTCTCGGTACATTAAACACAATGATAGACTACAAACATAACAATGATGAAGGACTTCCTCATCATAGAAAAAAAAATCACCTTCGACACGTACTATAACGACCATCATGTGTTCTAAGACGGCAGTAAATAACATAAGGACCTGTATTACCTCCGGCACCAGGGTGAGTCGGCATTGGCAGTATCTTCTCACGCCCTCTGGGAAAGATGACTTGAAGGAAGTGGAGGAAATCCCAGAGGACCTCTCCTCACCTTGCACAAGTCTCAAGGTTCCCTGGGGAGATAATTCAGAGATATTAGTCATAGTTTTGAGGGCAGGAAGGGTAATTGTAAAGAAGGGTGAGGTTAAAGATAGGAAGGTTGTAAGGCAGGGAAACGAATAGCGGGTTAAGGATAAACTAGCAGGGTAAAAACGGTAGACGGCACAAAAGAAATGCGTTTTGAGACGAAGGACGCTAGAAAAGGGGCGATAAAGGCAAAATTGAAGAACAATATCCCGCAGATTTTTCGTTTGTGATTTACT